ATCCCCCCCAAAAAATCTCATATAAAGCACATCCATATGTGTTTGTGGTTTCTATGAATTTTCCTCCTTTTAAATGCACTTTCAAACAGTGCTCTCTGGTCAAAGCATTAAATACTTTGGCAACTTAAGACAAATGCTGATTTGTTGAATGTTTCCAAACATGGGGAAATTATTTCAATTTAAGTCGGCCGACTCTAATATTTAGTGTGTTTGTCTTTAACTTTGCGCATTTGGTTTTTGTATATATTAAATTAATTTGATATGTCTCATCCTTAGATAAACCCAAAAGGCTTCTTAAAAAAGTTACCATTTTCATTCATCAATCAACAATAGCAGTTACACACTTTGCACTTCCACTTAAAGCTTCGATGTTCACATTAGGAAAAAAATAAGAAACATGTTTATTTGCAGTTTATGTTAGTTCATGAAAATTTCAAAATGAGGGCATATATCTCCACGAATCTCAAATGAGTGGTAAAGATCTTTAAGGACATTTTCTCATCAAATATTTTTCATTAAGTAAGTTATGATCACCAAAGAGCTCTTACAAATGATGTAGTTAAACATTTAAGGGTTAAAGCGCATTCAGCCCTACAAGCAAATTTATTCATTCACATAAACAAACACTGACTGCACTTCACAGTCTTTACAGTTTTAAAGTCTCTGCAGCGCCTTTCTCAAACAGAAACTCACAAGCCAATGACTGCACTGGAGACTGTTTAATTATTCAAACGGATTATGAAACTTGTTTATCTATTGTGACATTTTTTAAGCAGAGGGAGACAGGCAGGAAAAAGAGGCCAAAGATAGGCGCGGATGACTTGCAGCTAGCTGACAAACAGCTTGGACTTCAGTTTTTGTGCATGTACAGGAAGCACTATGTAACTCAACAAGGGTTAAGAGATGTCTGAACCCCTACAGAAAGTCAATCATTATATATAAAATGAGTAAGATGAAAAGGCCACGTTTAATGGTTCTAGATCTCTCAACATGAGCACTACTCATATGATGTTATGGGCATATGATGGATAAATACCCATAGGCAGAAGGTCCCATCACCGACATTAGGCCAGTGAGACAGTTTAATCAGCTGCTAACAACTTTTATGTGTTTGCAAATTATAAATCCACACCCGAGCAGCTCAGACGACAATTAGAACTGAATAGATACAAATGATTCAAGCTTCTCCATCTCAAAAATCTGAAATAAATTGTATGTAATGAAAGTAAGACAAGTTATATCCATAACCATACAGAAATGGAAGAAAAACAGTAGGATATAGGAGACTTTTGAGATAAAAACAGATGCAACACATGCAATTGTCTAAATGTACGAAAACATAGGGTAAACTAGTGTCTGAGGTTAACACGTGCTGCAAATTCCAAACAAAGCTCAGATCTTCCGAACAAAGCAAGCATGTGGCTTATATAAAAACAGCTATGTATTGACAGTGTTTCATAGGGTATTGCAATATGGTCATTTGCATTACTAATGACATCATATGTGCGAAAGGGGTTCTTCTGAAGAATGAGTTAAAGTGAATCTTTTGCATTTATACAAATAGTTACGTTTTTTATATATCAATTTATCCAGTGAATTTCAATAAAAAGGCAAAGTTATATGAGTGAAATTAAACATATCAGATTAGACCAGATCAACCCGATTTGTTCAAATCCCCTTCAGTCCCCAGATATGTTTAATTTCTAATATATATTAATGTGTTTATTTTGCCACGTTTATTACACTTTGTCAACTTTGATTTACTATATAATTTGATATAAACATAAATGGACTAAAAGGCGAATGAAAAAATGACTGTCAATAATAGAAAAAGGAAGAAAAGGAGAAGACAGAGAGGGGGAAGGGGGGAAAAAAAGTTGAGTTTTTCTTATTCTATTTCTTTTCTATTCTGAATAGAACATGCTTGGAAAGCATGCAAATACTTGTGACATTTTGCATAAGCGTGCATGTCTGTGTGTCTAAGCGTGCCATAATCTGCGATTCCGTCTCATCAGCACAATATCAAACTGCCTTCAACATCACGTTGAATTATACATCACTGTATTTCTCTCTCTTGGTCGCGTGCACGTGCTCATATGCACACTATATGGAATGTGCTAGTGCATGAATTAGTTATGACCTGACAGTCTTCAGACGAAGAGGAAGAAATATTCAAGGAGTTTTACAACCCACATCAAAGTGAAGCCCACTGAGCAGACAAGGCTGCAGAGGATAACGCAGCGCTGCCATACCTTTTGGCCTTCCAAGGCAAGCCTCTTTCCTTCGAAAAGGATCAATAAATCACAACGTATTTGTTTCGCAACACAGATATAATTGAACACCTCTGAAATATCGTACGTATCCACGTCTGTTTAAATCAAATCCATTTAACGGTTTAGACCGTATGAATTTGTAGCAGGCAAAATAGAGGGAGTACTAAACTCCTCTTTCCCCAACATGTCCTCCAGCTCTTCCTGCTCTTATGAGTGATGTGTCCAAAGGCATCCCTTGACCAGGTGTGATCTGAAGGGCCTCGGGCATCTTGTGGGTCTGCTGCAGGGAGCATTCTTAGCTTGATCTGCCTTGAATGACTCCATAGTGAGACGGCCAGGATGTTTCTTCAATAGATGCCCGAATGTACCCTCTACATTTCCACCATTACTAACGTTTTATTTTCTCGAAATATTACTTTACAGAATCTCTTAACGCGTCCACTAAAATTGCTAAAATGCTAAAATTATCGTGCCAATATAATACAGGCTTTGCTGAAATGATCAGCTCCAGATTATTTTTAAGTCTACTCCTTCGGTAAGCTGTAAAACTACGTCTATCCACCTGCTATGGCCTTAGTTTATGGAGGTTGCTGGAGTCTGTTCCAGCTGCCAGGGGTTAGACGGGGTACACAGTGGACAGGTGGCCTGTCCACCATAGGTCAACAAAGACAAGTACAAGGAAGGAGAACCCACACACTTACACTCACTGCTATGGCCAATTGGAAGTCACCAATTGACCTAACATGCATGTTTTCTGACTGTGGGACACCCCTGGGAAGCCCAAAGTACATCTAATTCACTAATTCATTACATTTGCAATGTTTTGAAGGTGTGTTTAGAAGATTCAGATAGTGATTTTGTTCTCCATCTGTGCAGTTGAAATAGAGAGTTGTACTTAATAAACACAGCCACCATTTCTATGAATAATTAACAGAGTATGATTTCTGAATGCATTTATTTTTTAAGGATGTAATGCAGATATAGGGAAACCTGAGAAAACATGAAGGCTGAAAAAACTTCCAGTAACAGATTAGGCAAAAGGATCACATAACATAAGTAAGACCTGACAAAAACTGTGAAAACCAGAGAAGACATTTCTTTTGGAGGAAATCTCTTCCTCCTTATGTGTATTCAGACCATGGCTGTGTGATGTGGACTCCCGAAACTGATGATGGGCAGAAGCCTGACAGATCATCAGCATAATGTCACATTTTTGAAAATGTCAATTGTGCTTCGTTTCAATGACTCACTGTCTCCCCCCCTCTGCTACACGCACACTCTCACACACACACACACTCTGTGCGAGTCAAATGGCTGCATGTATCAACAGCAGGGGATCCTCACATAAATCCCCTGGATATTCTCAGTGAGAACAAACTCCTTTCCTGTTGCTTCGACACACACACGGACGGAGACATAAAATCGTGCAGAAGGAGCATGGGCCAAACAGCTAGTAGACATTTGTGCCAATGAATAAATCTGGGTTAAAACAGCTTTGACACACAAGTGGCAGGAACTCACACAGAAACCCCCAACTCAAGCAACCCAGACACTGCATGTGTGTGACTTATGAGAACTATGTACTGATGTATCTATCTATCGTTGTGGGTGGGAATTATACATATGGGTTGAATTTCAAACGAGAATTGGGGTTAAACTAATTGTTTTCTGGGAAATTCAATGTTCCTTTCTGAAATTAACGCTCCCATCTACACATTTTGCATTGCATTGCTGCAATTTCCTTATAAGTTGATTTATGAGACAGGCAACAACTGCCTAGTTCCATCAGGTCTTGATGCCGTTTGCTTCTAAAAAAAAACCCAAAACTTTCAGCCTCTCCAATCATGACATCCAGTCATCGGTAACCAGAGTTTCCTGGTATCCCACTTTCCTGATTTTTGATATGTTGTATTTTTCTAATGCTAACACTCTTTTTAAGATTTGGTTTCTACTCATTGGTTGTGAAGAACCAAGTTGGCTTCCATCAAAGGGTTTCAGTTGAATGTTAATCAAACAATGAAAAAGCTCAGGTCAAACCTGTTGCTGTTTATGCTGGTTTGAATATAAAGGGAACCACCACAAAAAGAGAAGGAAATTCAGCTAAAAACTGTGACCGTGAAAATATACTTACAACCGGCAGAAAAGGCGAAAGCAATATTTAGTTCCACATGCGGGAGATTATGACATGAAACAGTAAAGCACGTGTGAATCTCAAAAAGAAATGTTCGGGTCGGAAAAAAGATGTACCCATTCCTGCTGAAACCCAGAACTGACTGCAGACAGATAAGCTAACGCCAGCTGAGATAACCAGCATCTGCCACACTGGGCAGAAATCTGCACCGTTCCGTTAGGCCGACTGTAGTAGAAGTCATTTCTCCAGTCCAACAAACAGCCGAAAACACAAGAGAGGGGCAAGAAGTTGTCATGCAAAAGATGTGACCATAATCACAAACAAGCGTGCTTTGAAACAGAAATCAGAAGTGGTATCCCAATGCAGACAATAGATAAGTGCTTAATTTCTTTCCTTATATCTAGATTGTTTGATGTCCGAGTCTCTTCCTTTTGGCCCAAATTACTGACCCATCAGTGACTCATGAAGTGTTACAGATTTGACATATCGTACCTCATTGTTCCTGATGTTTAGAGATGGAAAGGCAGCTCATACATTCTTTATAATTCAACCCTGACAGAACCCCGTCCATAGAAGTGATACAGAAATATTCTGACCTTCGTAGCTGAGTTTGAAACCGTGAGCAGAAACGGCGAAGTCACTGGTCAACCTCAGAGAGAAGACGTTCCCTGTGCTGGTGACCGGGGCGGGAATTTGGAAACCTGTTAACCTGTGAAAAAACACAGAAAAGACAATATGCTAACATAAATAATTGATTACTTTTCAGCTTTGACTAAACATATCCAGTATGCCTCATGTTCTCAGTATGAACATGTATGTTCTCTATGGGGCAAAAAGACAAGCAGAAAAACAAAACATGCAGGTTATTTTGATTTGGTTATCTTAAAAAATAACTGTTGGGGTGAGTCTGAGCATGTCTGTTTGTTTATCTCCACATTGGCTGTGTGATGCATAATAGGGAAGGTGAAAAAACTGTCTTGACTCTCGTGGAATCAGTTAGATGAAACCGTTACATAAAATTCTAAAAAATGAAACGTTCTCAGTGCAACATTCCCAATTAAAATTGTTATTCAACCATAGACTATTAAACAATTTTCTGAAGAAAAAAAAAATTCGATGCATTATTGCATGATGTGCATGTAAAATCACTTTTACATGCACAATTATGCACATAAACAATCAATTAATTACTTTTCATTTTCCTAGCAAATGAATCAAAGCAAAAGATTAAAGGGTATCAACAAAAGAAAAACTAATCAGAAACACCAAAACGTACCTCTGTAGAGAGGAATAAATCATAAAATAGGAGTCAAAAGGAAGGCAAGGCTGCTCTGTGTGAACTCAAAATGTTTGAGATTTTTCTTAAAAATAAGGCCTGTCACAGTGTGCCAGGTAGGCCTTCAGATTCCTTCAATTAAATGTGAAGGAGGCAGGAAGAATGAGGTCTTTTTCAGATCTGGATAAGAGCCAAACTATCTTGCTGCTACACTTTTAGTTTGTACTGCGGCTATCATTCTTCATTTTATTTAACTTCCCTCTGATTTTTCCCTTTTCTTTTCCTAACACTTCCTCCAATCTCCTCATCCTTTCCTCTAGAAAATAAACTGAACCACCAAACTCATTTTTTATTACATTTTAATGTCCGCCGCCCTACACAATTCCTCCCCCTCACCTCTCTACATTTCACAAGCATTTATCTTCCAAAACATCACTGCTTCCTTCACATTTACCCATTTTTTAAAGCATTTTTCATCCACGGCTGTTTTTAATGTTACTGTCTCATCTTTCATCTGTATGTATTTTTACATTATTCTCTCAGTCCCAATTCTTTCAAAACAGAAATTGATATTACCATGGGTTAACATGAAGATCCGCATCTTAGAATATTTATCCGTGACCAGTTAAACAGTTTGTTTCTAGCCTTTATTTATTTTTTTGGACAGCACAATTTTTCTAATTTTTTTGTTTGCTACATAAATAAAGATATTTTCATACAAAGTTATGAAATATTTGATATGACGAAAAAAATATATATATTTTTTGTAGTAAACATTGAACCAATAAGCTTGAAACGTAATCTCTAACTGTTTAATGGGTGTTTTGCAAGAGAAATTATGTAAGGAAGGATTCAGATTTTATCATAACTCACTTTCTCAGTTTTATAAAGGGGTTCAAAATGTTTCCAATATATATTTGCATGCATCATTCACCAGGCTTTCTTAGTCTATTTTAATTCATTAAGATTTCTATTAGTGAAAAAGTCAAAGCTGCTTCAACAACCTTTTCTCAGCCTCTGCTCTTCTGCATATTTCTTTTTCGTATTCTGCTTCTTTTCTTGGTTATATTCTTTGTTTTTGACAACAACAAAAAAACATGTTGTAAAAAAAAAAGCTTCCCCCCCTTTCTTATTTGCAATGCATCACTAACAATGGGGTGAAACCAAAATGGTCTGACACAGATTGAGAGCGAGATGGAACACAGGGTGCGGTGCTTAAGATTTGCTCCAGTGTGTAGATTTTCAAATTCATAAGGAGTTAAGCACACAACCATACACAACAAAACACAACGATCACAACTTTCATTGTTTATTTTTTCACCAAAGGTGAAAGTCTGTCTTATGCTTAACTAACTTCACATCTTATCGTGTTAATTGCCAAGAAGAAGAGAATATTATATAATACCACAATGATGTCATAAACTTAAGAAGAATGGAATGGAAAATGAAAACAGAAAGAAGAAAGGACAGGACAAAAAAGGTGGCCTAGTTTTAGAATTTTGTGTTGTTTCATATCTGTTAGGCAATAAATATTCAAAGCTGCTAATCTCAACACAACAAACATCGAAGCACTCATAAATTCAGGCACAGTTAATGTTAATGCCTATTCTAACATGTACCTCCAAAATCCAATGGCACAGCATTATTAAGTCAGTTAATTCTCAATGGAACAGCTCTCAACCGGAGCACAAACACATTTCACCACGGTTAAATCAATATAATAACTTCCTTGATCTGAGATGTTCATTTCCCAAAGTGCATCTGGGCAAGCCAAACATTCAACCACATGTCAAAAATAGCTTGAAAACCACAGCTAAGGATGATGGATAAGGAAAGAAAATAGCTTGGGCTAAAACTACTCACAGACAGCACAGTGTTGGAAATATCTATCAGATCATTCTGGATTCTCACCTCTTTGTTCATGTTAGGTGCAGGAGAATGGAACATAGTTTCATTAGTGTGAAGGAGGCTCTGAAGATTAGTATCTCATCAAAATCTGAAACAGCTGAATATTCTCAGCGCTAAACACTATAAATGAGTAAAATACAAACGTTTGGGTACTTACCAAAGCAACATGGACAAATGGAAAATGTTGCTTTCTCAGATATTGGCATTGCACCTAAATGGTTAATTTGAACTATTTATTTGCACATAGTAATTCAAATAAATATACAACGTTGTTGAAAATTCCTAGCTTAGCAACTAAGGAAATTAAAATAAGAAGTAATTAAATAGGTTCAAACAATAATCAAAATAACAATAACTGAAAAAAGAGCTTTGTTTGGAAACCCAATATTTTACTTGAGACAAATGCAAATAAAACAGGAAGCAAAGAATATAAAGAAAGTTCATGGAAGTTTGCTCAAAAATCTAAACTATGATTCATACTGTGCTCAAACCACCTATTAATTCACCTTAAACTATGATCTACAATCCGGCAAATCATCAATTTTCCGTTGTGACATTTGCTCCACTAAATAATCCATGGATAATGTATCATGTGGGACACAAAAAGTAGAGTACCCGAGCTCTTTTGTGCAACAAAGACCATCATTCTGCATAGCTGAGCATTGTGGAGCAGCAGCTATGTGGCTGCTGAAGCTTGATAATCCGAACATCTGCAGCTTGTTATTGCGATTTTCTTACCCACTGAGAATGTCTGGTAAGCATAATTATACTTCTCAGACATTTCACCTGCGATATCTCTTGTCTCCCTCTCTGCTAGAACTACACGATTTTACGAAAATATCGAAAGATTTGTCACACTATCCTATATAAACCTTTGGTCGGGTTCATCTTGGATTTTTTCGAGTTAGTCATACAAACGGTGCCTATATGTTTTTTTTTTAAACCAGTTGTTTGCAAACAGTTACATAACTAATTGCTCATCATGTGTAATATTAGCTTCTAATTAGTATGCTGTATATTATTATTATTATTTAGCTGCAGCTGTGTAGTTGTGTATATAGGAACAGTACAACAGAATAATGTGTTTGCAGTGCGCACGGATTTGTGTCATATGGTTTACAGCAGTGTTGTGGAAAGATTACAAGATGTTTTAAACCACACAGCGGAGCCGTGTGCTGTCAATCACCTCACATATGGGTACATACCCATGGGAGTTAATTTATGCCACAGCTAACTCTGAATATGCAGCGAGTAATTACAAAGCACCACTACAAACAAGTAATATCCAAAATGCTTTGACAGATGATTAGTTTTACTCTATTGAGTCCCCTTTGTACTCAACACTGTATGTGGGGAAAGGGAATAATTAATGGAGCAGACAATCCAAACGCAGATGAGCAAACACTTAAAACTGACCTTTAAGATAACTCTTTTAATATCTCAAATACAGAATATGGATTTTAAATGCATGCACTGCTAATTCTAATTTACTCATGATAAATAGCTGTGTGGAAAGTGGTATTTTTGTGGTAATTTCTAATCCAGCGGACCAAATTTATTAATTAATAATATGCTTCAGTAAGATCATCACCCTGTTACTGTGTCTGCAGAGGCATAAAACTATTGCAGCTGTAAAACTGTGATGGATATACACAAAACATGCAATCACAGAAAAATGGAAACAGCTTCAATGCTTGACACAAGATTTAAAGTACTTATTTAAGAAAAAAAACAACTGGTTGCTCAAGTGAAGCGTTTTAACTTCTGGACCCCTCTGTCCCTCTCTGAAGTAGCAGTAAGACCACAGATGGGTCATTTTTTTTTTTTTTGTGGATCTGGGCTTGTTTGTTTGTGTGGATGTGTACTCGGGTTTGTTGCTGTGTATTTTATTGAGTTGATACTGACCCAAGACCTGACCCCACAAAGCAAACTGCGCTCGCTCTTCCTCTTTCTCTAGTTCCTCCTCTGTGTTCCTTCATTTATCTTTTCACTTCCTCCTTTCCTCCAAGCCTGTCTCTTCCTCGAACTTCATCCATTGGGAAATGTGTAACTGTGTCAATTTACAGAGCATTTTGTTCCAATTCAACACTGCCAGCCAGGTATAGCTTTCTATATGTCGACAGAAAAAGTAGACCACAGATATTATTTCCCTTTGTCTTAAATATGTAGAGTGGTACTATATTGCTTTGAACTTTAGTTCTATTATTTTTTAGCCATTCCATTTTTTTGTTTGTTTTTTTTCTTGCAAAATGAGAACAGTAGATTAACAGAAGTAACACAAAACTGTGAAAACATTGAGGTTTTGGCTAATCAAACATATAATCCTACAGAGCTAATAAAAATTAAATACTTGAATATACTTAGTATATTAAAGCATTGATTGGACTTTTTTGTGCTCCATGTCTTCTTATTTTCACACTGTTTCATCATGTGGTTCTGTGGTTAATATTCATGCGATTTTTTTTTTCCAAAGATAATTCCCTTACAACTGTGCATCTAAATCCTGTTCATGACAACCCCCGCAG